GCGGCTGCGGGCGGCTGCAGTCGCCCCCGTGCCAGAGCCCAGGCGGCAGCCCCAGCTTAGGGACATCCCGGCAGGGCGCAGCGGACGGCGCCAGGTGGACGGGGCGGGTCCTGGCGACAGCCTGTCCCGGGGAAATCCGAGGACCGCGGACGGCGAGGACGGTCCGGCCGATGCTCAGGGGACAGTTCAGACTGATAACAGGCAGTGTTATCTGTCGGTCTCTAAAACAGAAATTAAAACGGCGAGAACAAATCAAGGTCCGCAGCTACTCCGCACACCCGCTGGTCCGCAGCTGGGAGCCAGGCGTCCCGCGCCCCACGCCGGTGTCCTGCACGGGGTGGACTTCCTTCCCGAGAGGCAGCAGAGCCCGCGCGCTGGGGCTCCCCGCTGCGGTCCGTGGGTGGTGTTGGGGGGACCCTCACCGGAAGGGCCTGCCACGTGCCAGCCGAGGACAGGCGACAGTGCCGGGCCTGCCTTCCCCTCCCGTTCAGCCCTGCACGTGGGCGCCATCTGGAGGTCTTCGGGGCACGGCGAGGCTCACGTGGGGTACCTGCCCTGCGCCATCCTGTCTGCCACGCCCAGGGTGTGGACCAGCGGCTCCCACAGGAAGAGAGGACCTGGCGGGTGGGCAGATCACACCGTGTCTCAGTGTCTGTTAGGGCGAAATGCCGCTGGGACAACAGCACCTCCGCCTCTGCGCTGGGCAGCTGGGCACCCACAACCCGGCTGGCTGTGGCGAGCACCCCATACTGTCTTGTGTCCAGGAAGGCGAGGGTGGCGCCAGGCTTTGTTTGCTGCTTCCGTCTGGCCACCACGGTCCTGCACGATCCACTCGCTGGGGCAACGCCCAGCGTCCAATCCCGCCTGAAACGGTGCCTCCGAAACCGTGCGGATGAAGACAGCTCCTGCTGGTTCCTAATGCGCTAGTCGGCAGCACAGCGTCCGGTGATCCTTCGGCAGGGTCAGCCTGTCGCTGCTGATTGGCCAGATGGCAGGAAGGACCAACTGCGTCATCTAAGTCACCAGGAGACCAGAAGGGTCTAAAGGTCCTGGCTCCCCTAAAGGGAACCAGGACCATTAGCTACAACAGTCCCTTGATAATGCAATTAAGCAAAAATAGTGCACTTCCCGGGTAGAGGGGGGAGGAAGGGAATGAAAGAGAACGAAAGAGCAAAAGAAAGACTTGGGTGCGTGCATTACCTGGGCTGGCATAGCGCACCCTACACAGGCAGCAGGAATCTGCCCTCTCCGCGTTCAGAGCAGAAGTCCAAGGTCAAGGCGCTGGGACTGACTGGAGTGTCCATTCCACGTCTGTCTCAGCTTCTTCTTGCTGGCTGCCCCTGCCAGTCCCTGGGGCCGCCTGAGGGATCCTGTCTCCAGCTCCGCTGTCATTCAGGTGTCTTCCCCTGTGAGCGTCTTCTAGCGGCCTTCCCCCTCTGTGTCTCCTCTCTTCTTATAAGACCCCTGGGGACAGGGCAGCGGCAGCCATCACCCTGGGGCTGAGGTCCCTAAGGGCCACCCCGCTTCGTCACCAAAGAGAACAGGATGCCCCACATGTTCTTCACGGTGGCAGCCAGTGTCCGGCCAGAGGTCAGTGCTTGGGGGACCGAGACGGAAATGGCTCCAGCCCAAGCTGGAACAGGTGCCAGAGCAGGCGGGGCACACCTGTTCCTAAGATGTCTTCTGAGGTGATCGGGTTCCAAGAAACAGGAGCGAATTCCAGCCTCTGACCTCCACCTGTGGGGCCTCTTTTGTGTGGCTGGGAGGCGTGGCTGCCAACCTGGCTGGGGCCCATCCAGGGGTGAGGGACAGGAGATCGGCTGGGCTCACACTCTGTCCCTGATTTGCCCAGTAGGTTGCCCTGAGGACCTGCTACGGAGGAGATTAGCTGATCTTCCCAGCAGGAGAATTTGACACTGGGTGTTGAATTCTGCCTGGTCAGTGTTGATTTGAGTTGGAGCTGTTTATACAAAAGCTAGCAAACTTTTCCTTGTTTACATAAGAGCCTTCTGGGTATCAGCTTCCTCTACCCAGGTGTTGGGTTTGTGCTACGACATCTTCCGTCTCCTGCTCAGAGACACAGCTTGGGGGACCAAGAGGTACCCCTTTCTCTCCTGCCCTGGCTGGGAAGCCAGCAGTTCCAGCCTAGGGAGTTCTGCAAAGCACTAAAGCTCTCAGAACAACCATGCAACAAGCTTTCACTTCAAGCAGCAGAACTCTTACATTTTGGGCACCTTTACACGGAGATCTCGCTGAAATGGTTTGCGTCCTTCCTGACTTATAAAGAACATGTGGAGCACCCTGTTCTCTTTGGTGACGAAGCGGGGTGGCCCTTAGGGACCTCAGCCCCAGGGTGATGGCTGCTGCTGCCCTGTCCCCGGGGTTGTCCCCTTTTCGTTGGCCTTGGGGGCTCTCAGGTGGCAGCGTCTGCCTCAGCCCACTGACGGGGAGCTCAGTCAGCTAGCCTCTGCCTGTCCATCCCTTTCTGTACAAGGTCTGGGTGCTCAGCTGGGCTTTTGAAGCCCCTCCACACCAGCCACCTTGGAACCTGGAGTTGTCCCCAGGTGCCTTCGGATGAGTGGGTGTCACAGCTGCACTTCCTCTGCGAAGTGTGAAGGAAAGCAGGTGTCAGGCTTCGTATGTGTCGTGGCTCTTGCAGTCTCTGAGGCCGCTGCAGCGGGTCTCACACTGCGGGCGTCAGGAGACACAGCTCTGCAGGCCAGGAGCTGGAGATGAAGGTGGGGCCAGGTCCCGCTCCCTCCTGGTGAGGACAGGGCGGCGGCAGCCCTCAGTCCCACCCTCACTGCCGTCCCCTCTCTCTCCTCAGTCATCTCCCCTCTGTGTGTGTTTGCCCCGATTCTCCTTTCTTATAAGGATTCCAGTCACACTGGGTTTGGGCCCACACTCCGAGGACTTCACCTGAGCCTGCTGAAGCCTGCAAAGGCGCTATCTGAAGTGAGGTCACATCCTGGGGTGTTGGGGGTTGGACTTGTCCAGAACACAGCACCTGGTGCCCACAACTTAAACGAGGAGGGTTTGATTTTGGCTCACGTTTTAGATGGTTCAGTCCTTGCACGGCTGGCCAGCCCCAAGGCAGGACAGCACGGCCGAGGGGCATGGTGGAAAAGAAGTGCTCACAGCACTGTGCACAGGAAGCAGAAGGAGTCAAGGGAGGAGCTGGGAAGGGCAGTGTAACCCTCTAGGCCATGAGAGGAGTGACCGCCCCTTCTGACCCGCTCTTCCCTCCTAACACAAGGCAGCTTAAAGCCCTGTGTTCCAGTCACCTTCCAAAAGTCCTGCCTATAAGAACATGAGGCTCGGGGCTGGGGATTTAGTTCAGCGGCACAGCGCCTGCCTGGCCAGCGCAAAGTCGTGAGTTCGATTCCCGGTACCAGAAAAAAAACAAAAACCCCCACCCCCACCCCCCCAAAAAAAAAACAAACATGAGGCTCTTGGGAGACATCTTGATGTAAACCATACCATTCTGGCCCTGGCCCCCAAAGACTCATGCACATCCCTTCATGCAGAAAGGCATTTAGTCCATCTCTAAGAGTCGCTGAAGTCCCAACAGTCTCAGCATTGCTGACAAGTTCAGTCCAAATTCTCCTCTGAGAATTAAGGCAAACTGTGAGCCCCTGTCAAAATCAAAAAGAAAGTTAGGGGGGCTGGGGATTTAGCTCAGCAGCACAGTGCCTGCCTGGCAAGTGCAAGGTCTTGAGTTCGATTCCTGATACTGGAAAAAAAAAATGAAAAAAAAGGAAAACAAAAACCCCAAAAAGAAAGTTAGACACTGCTGACTTACAAAGGCGTGGGATACACATTCCCATTCCCAAAGGGAGAAATAGAGGAACAGAAAGGAATGAGACCAAAGCAATATCAAAACCCAGCAGCAAACATGAAATCTATTGACCCATGTCCAGCACCTGGGGCAAGTTGTGTCGAAGAGCAAACTCTAACGGGCTTGGGTAGCTGATCCCCTGTGGCACCGCCAGTGATTGTAGCTCTCATGGCCTCTCTTTTGGGCGAGTTTTGCCCACTACCTGGGCCTTTTCTCAGACATTCCACATTCCTTGCTTCTCCAACATTTTGGGGTCTCTGTTGTACTTTTGACTTCACCCTCACTGCTTCATACAGGGCACACTGCCCAGCCTCCCAACCCTTCTTCTGAAATATGGAGGGAAGACTCCTTCATCCTTACATTCTGCATTGCTGTTAAACCAGCACCGCTTGGACAATGCCGAGGTCTGCTGCAGGCTCCAGCAGTACCCAGGCCCCTTGGCATCACGGCTCAGGCCTCAGTGTTCTGGATGGTTGAGCACTGTGGAGAGAATCTCATGAAACCTAGGCACCTTCTTGAGCAGGCTGCCCTGGGGCGCAAAGTCTTTCACTTTTTACCCTGAGTCTGCAAAGGGAGGGGCCTTTTAGATTTCTCCCATTCCCTCAAAGCATTCTTTGTCTTGTCCCAGTGTAGAGTACGCAGCTTCTTTTTAATGCCAATCTTTTCAGAAAACAAGCTCTCCTCTGCTCCATCTTTTTAGGCCCCAACTTTAGCTGATTTTCTTCTCTGGCCAAACTCAAAACTTTCAGAATCATTCAACTGTGCCATTTGCTCTTGACTCTCAATATAGAGCTGTTTAAAGGTGCCAACAGTATCCACACCACAGCCTCAACATTAGGCTGCCTTGACATTTCCTCTACCAGATTAATTAAAACACCACCCTTAATCTCTGTCTCCTGCAAAGTTTCAGAACATGAGAAAAATGAAGACAGATTTTTTGCTACAGCATAACACACATGGCCCGGAGTCCAGTGGCTAATGGAGTTCTTGTTCCCCACTCAAACCTCCTGAGCCTGGCCTTTACCGTCTGCCTTTCTATCAGCATTCTGGTCTTTTGAACTCTGACCAGAGTCTCCCATCAGGTTCAGCATACAGAATGGCAGGGCTTCTTCAGCTGCATCTCCAAACACTTCCAGACTCTGTGAACCAGTTCCAAAGCTTCTGAACCACATGATCATAAGCTCCCATCACCCAGTCATCATCATGTAGCATCACAGTGGTGACCCCACTTCTGGGACCAAAATCTATCTTAGCTATTTACCCCAACATAATACCCAACATCCACAATTTAAAGGAGAAGAGGTTTAGTTTTGGTTCACGGTTTATAGAGGTTTCACTCCATAGTTGGCTGGCTGTAAGGCAGAACAGCACAGTGGAAGGGCCTGGGGAGAGGAAGGCTGCTCACCTCATAGCACCCTGGAAGCAGAAACACTAAAGAGAGGGGTTGGGAAGGGCCATATAACCTTCTAGGTCACACTTTCAGCACCACACGTCTTCCCACCAGACCCCACCTCCCGACATCAAGTCAGCTGTAAGCCCCCAGGATCCAGTCACCTTTCGAAGCCCAGCCTAGGGGGACATGAGGCTCCTGGAGGACCCCTAGATAAAAACCATAACAGGACATGAACCTATCTTCTTTTGGGAAAAACAGAATTTAACTCATAGTGCAGGGTGAAGAGCAGTGAGATCCCCAGAGAAAAACAGCCCCAGGTAACAGAGTCCCAGCCTTTGGATGAAAAATAAGAGGCCAGCTACGATGGTCAGGGACGCTCCATGACCTTGCTTTTGTCTTCATTATGAAGGGCTGAGGTCCTCAGGCTGATGCCCTCTGCTGACAGCCAAGTACCACAGCCAGGTGCAAGAAGAAGACTACAGGCCGCCTTAACCTAACACCTGGCTTTGCAACCAGCATGAACACCTGAGTGTTTGACAGTTAACCCAGCCCCTTTCCCCCTCCTTCCCTGCCTCCCTACCTCCCTTTCTACCTTTGTTTTTTTCTTTCTTTTCTTCAGCCATACCTTTCTTTTGAATATCTACTATGGGGAAGGATTGTTGTTACTAAAATGCGACAGAAACAGTGTCCCAAAAAAGCGTGGTCTCCAGAGGCACAGAGTACGTCTCCCTGGTAGCCGAGTGGGTTTCTTCTTTCTTGTTGGGGCTCGGGCCTAGGACCACCGATCTCCTGCTCAGAGGTATGATGACAGAATAAACACAGACAAAGCATGTATTTTAGCTACAAGGGGGACCAGGATGGTCAAGCCCAGTGGCGGGCCAGGACATGAGGTACGGTGTCCTGGCCTTTGTTAGGTGCACAGCGTGACTGGGGTGCTGGTGGCTGCAGGAAGTGGGGTGAGCTGCTGACATGTGCAAGGTTCAGGGACTGAGGTGCGGTGTGGTTCTGGAAAAGTGCCCAGGACGGATCAGGGTTGACTGGGGACCTGCTTGTCTGCTAGCTCCGGAGTCCAGTCCTCAGCTGCCGTGCTAGCTTGCTTTGAGGCTCCAGAACTTCACAGACCGTTTGCTGGTGTCGGCTCTGGCCTCGGCTTAAAGATGAATCTGCCCTTAAGCCAGCCGGGGGTCTCTCCACAAGTCATGTAGGCCTAGGACAGACTCTCAGTTTATTTTTGTGCCAATTTATTAATATTAATCCTTGCCTGCCCTGTGTCAAGTTGGTCCTCAGCACTTTCCCAGACAGGAACTGGTTTGGCAGACACTGGGCGCCCTGTACCCAGCATCACTTGGTGTACCCCTGAGCGTTCAACAGCACGACCTTCCTAGTGTCCTCAGGGAGCAACTGAACAACGGCACATGCCTTAAGAAGGGAAGGCTCATGGATGGGAAGCCACAGGGAAGGACGTTTCCATGTGCCTGGGTTCCCAAGGGGACCCAAAGCCTGCTTCTACCACTGCCCGGAGGTAATGGAGTGCACTGTCCTCTGGTTGGGTGGAACGTCGGATGCTCTCTCTGATGGTTTGCCGGCATGCTGACCTTTCTGCAGATAGCTCCTGAGGCTGCTGGATGTCCACTGTGGGACGGAGCAGCCTCGGCCGGATGAGACCTGCTTGGCCGTCCTGCCCAGCATGCAGCAGCACAGTACCAAACCCAGCAGGAGGAAGATGCACCATGTCACTGCTTCCTCCCCTCCAACTTTTGCTTACAGCTGACCTGCTCATGCTCAACCTACCCCTGTCACGACTGATGTGGACCAGGGCCAAGGAGGATGCCGATGTGCAAACTGCCCAAGGGCAGCAGGCCCCTGGGCACGAGAGGATTTAACGGAAGGGCAGCAGGATATCGCCTGTTGAAACACGCAGTGTCAAAGGCACAGGTGTGCACATGGGAGGGGTAAGCGGGTGGGGGGCTCTCAGGACATCCATGGGGCCAGCGCCGGAGGGCAGCACCCTCCCCATCCAGAAAGGATGCCCCCACAGCCTGCCAGCCCGACACACGCTGGGCTTGGGGCAGCAAGGCAGGAGACTGCAATCCTGTTCTGGGGAAACAGGCCCTGGTGCTGTGCCTTGCCTGGTGATGGTGCCCGCAGCACGGGCCAGTCCAGGGCAGAGGAGCAGCTCTGCTGTCCACACCCGCCTGCCCTGGGGACTGGCTACCTTCAGGCTCCGGTCCCGTCTCATTCTAGGGGTGATGCGTATGATAAAAGGGGAAGAACAGGCTGAGGCACCAGACAGGGCAGGGCATGGGCACCACACCTGCTCCGCCGTGCAGCAGGCTGCAGACACATGGGCAAGTTGACGAGCGGCTGAGTTCATTTGTTCAAGCCCTTCTAACAGCACTGCGAGTGGGTCGGCAGCAGACCCCGTGTCGGCACCGGACTGGGACGAGCACCGGCACCGCCTCCTCCGTCGTAGGGCTGGGGCCTGCGGGTGCATTGCTCAGGGGCCCACCAACCCTGAGTGGCAGCTGTGACAGCTCTGCAGGCAGAAGAGGGTGCAGGCGGGTCTGACCCGGTAAGCAGAGCGAGGAATGACACTCTGGGCAAATGGGAACCAACTGCAGGGATTTAAATGAAAAGCTTGCCCCGAGAAGACAGAAAAATGGGAAGAGTGGGGTTCTGGTGGTAAATGCCTCCTGCGAATGTCCTGAGAGATCCTCACTTCACATTGTGCCCCTGGAACGGAGACGTGCCCAGCATGGACAGCAGGGCTGTTAGTCAAAGGGCCGTGGGGAAACCAAAAAATCTCGAAGGGAAACCAGTGGTGAGGAACTGCTGCTCCCGCGCTGTGCTGACCTTTCCCCTTGACGTGGCGAATCTACCCAGGGAGCGCTGTGTGGCACTACTTCAGGACATTCATTCTTTCCAGCGCAAACTGGGGGACAAAGGGAAAGGGACACTTACTAAGAGCTCATCTTTTGACAGACACCATCAGGCGTTTCCAGTTTCCTTAAGAAATTTGGGCACGGGTCTAGGGACGTTGACAGAAAATCCAGAGCCCCAGTGAGGTGCTAGGACGCAGATCTCCCTGAAGCCCCTTTGCCTTCTCTTGCCATGCTGGGCCTGCCCCTGGGGTCAACATGGAGCCTGTGCCATGGCTGGCACATGCCCTACTGCCCAAGGCCCCTCAGGATGGCCCACTGAGATACTGTGAAACCGTGCTCGAAGGCACCATCCGCTATGCAGTTAGATCACCACAGAGAAAATCTGGAACTCAGGACTAAGCATTCTTTGCTACAGGTTGTCCTTTTAACGTGTAACATGACAGGAAGGCCAAGCGTGGGTCTAAGATGGCCCTTTCGGGGGCGGGGGCGAGGGGTGGTGGTGCTGCTAGGGCGGAAGGATTAAAAAGATCCCTCCTCACATTTCTTTCCACCAGAATGACCATGGTTCAAGGGCAGCGTGGTGCCAGGCCCAGTGATTCCAGAATGCTCGGTGGGTGGGGCACACTTGCCAAAGACGTTCCTTCCACAAGATTACGGGTGGCTTTACCAGCGGCTACATGAAGTCGCCCTTGATTTGACCTTAAGTTTATTTACCCAGCCGTGCCCGTGCAGCTGGAGAAGTGGAAATCTTCTGAGACTCACATACCTTGTTCTTAGTGAAATGGCATAATTCAATTATGTGCTCAAACACGAGTTCCAGGAGGCTGTCCACCTCCACTCAGGGCAGCCACCGCATGGCCATTCGCGGAGGGAGCGTGTGCACCCCACCGCACCCGGGTCTCTGCCCGCCCAGGGGTGCAGGCCGGGCTGTCAGCGTGCGGGGCCAGGCGTGGATCAGTGCCGAGCTACCTAGCTGCATTCACTGGCCCTGGGGTCCACTCCCAGCACCGTGAAAAAACAAAACAGCGCTGTGAATGTGCAGGAACCCGCTGGATGGGATGTGTTATAAAGTGCACAGGCTGGGCCTTGTGTACAGGTAAAGCCTTTCGCTGCTAGCACTTACCGTTAATGTCAAAACTAAAACTGTAAATTTTAAAAGCTGTGTGGAGCACGGCTGGAGTACTCTGGGAAGGCACATGGCTGGCTGGCAGCGACAGGCCGGGCAGGAGCAGGCTCCTGTGACGAGGGCGGAGCAGATCCTAGAAAACAGGAGTCCGGCCTCACCCAGGCCAGGGGGTCAGGCGCCCCTCAGTGCCACCCAGCGCCCACCACACAGGTCCTGCAGACTCCGTCAAAAGAGCCACAACGGGTTTCTCCCCGATGAACTCTAACATCCTACGCAGAGGACACCAAGACCCTGCCCCTTTAAAAAGAAAAACCCGCAAGAACAACAGTTGGTTTTGAACCTTTAATAAAAGTAAAAAATGAATGCAAAAAGAACACAATGTTGAAAACTTAGTATGAATGTGAATCTCACTAGATGTTCAAATCTGGTATAGTGCAAATTCTGCTCATACTATTTTACATTTTTACAAATTCAAATCACTTTGGTTCAATAGATCTGCTATAAACTATTGGCAAAAAATTTTTCAGATTCACATTTTTGGCTACATTTTTCTAATAGGTACAGATTTACTTCCAGTTTAAGAGAAAAGAACACACTGTTTGTGCATGATCAAGTATATCTGAAAGATTCACGTATGCTTGCAAATAGCAACCTCTGGCTTCATAAAAGGCCAACATTTTCACTGAAAAATATTTTCACACGACTGACCATTGTTTTCATTTTCAGAAAATGTATAAGGGATCATCCCAAAGTTTAGGACAACCCATCTGCTTTTAAATAAAATTTCTCTAAAACAAATTAGCTTCAAAAACCTGAACTTCACTCCACATTTCCCTCAAAATGAAATAAAGAAAGCCGCCCCTGTAGGTGAAGCCACACACACAGCAGCGCTGCCAGCTGGGCAGTCCGCACCTCCGTCCTGCTGGCTGGTGACTTCCGTTCCAAGGAGTCTTTGCATCCATTTAAATGAACCAAAAACATTTAAGTTGCAAAATACAAAAGAAGGTGAATTTGTAAGTAAAAGTTACTAAACCCACAAAACTGGAGTACGTCAGAGGACTTGGGCTCGGGAGGGTCTGGCGGTGGCGGGGCTCCGGGACTGACAAGTACCGCTGAACTGCCTCCCGCGGCCCTGAAATGAACGTAGAACCCTTCTCCGGAGCATCTCAGACAGTAAAAAAAATAAATATTTAAGAGGATACAAGGCTCAGATTGGTTTTCATGACATTGCACTTGAAGTTTAAGACCCAATACCTGCAGTTGGGTCCCACGTGGCCTCTGCCATTCGATGAATACACTGCGCTCACCGCTCTCGTGGAACGCTTAGCAACACACGTGGGCAACGCAGTGACAGACGCACTCTTCTTTTCACACGGCAATCACAGATTGCAAGTTCCATAGGGCTGTGGAAAACAAGTCCTCGCTACTCTGGACTCACAGAGAAACAATTCTGGCTCAGCGATTAAAATGCACGGCAGACAGCTACGCCCTCTTAGATGATGAGAGGTTCTGGGTACAGCGTCACCAACTGAGGTCCATGTTCCACATCACGGCGCAGGATGACGACTTTTCATTGCCTTTTGCTCTCATACGATTGTCTACACCAAGTTCCATGGGTCAAATGCAACGTGTGGCTGTTTCCCGGTGACGCGCACGGCCCCCGCGGCGAGTGTGACCATGAGCTGCTACGTGACCCCCCTTGGAGCGCCGCCTTCCTACACTCACTGTTGCTCCTGTTTTGTTTTTGCACACAACCCTATTTGTCAAATCTTTTGGATAAATATTCCTATGACACCACACCTCATCACCGTTAAGCACCATCAACCTATTTCCTTTGGGCACTGGTACAAAACTGAGTTGGTAATGAAGTTTTAGTTCAAGGCTGCAGAATATGGCAACTTGTTTTTAATAACAGGAATGTGATCTAATACTTGGGAAACTGCCCCTGCTGGCTGCCACACACAGCCTGGGACAGAGCGCTCCAGGGCACCGGCGGGTGCTGTGTGCTCGGTCACGCTAAGACTTCAAGGTAAGCACTGTCTCCACTTTGCTATTCTAGACATTTCTAGGTGGACATTTCTTCCGGAGTCATGTGTACAGTCAGCCCAATCTAAATAGAGTGCTCAGGAGAAAGATCATCTTCATCAAACCCACTGCCCCAGAGTTTCTTCCAAATCTGGTTTCTTATTCTTCACAATCAGTGGGTTTGAAAGCTCAGTCGCTGTGGGGCTTCTCAGGAACACCCTAGGTGGAAAAAGAAAAAAGCAAAATTAGCACCAAATGCATAAATACTGTAACTGTCAGGAGAGCAGGTCCCAAAAGGCTTTTGCAGGACTACGACTCCTGGGAGTGGGGAAAAGGACTGAGACAGAGCAGGAACACGGAGACCCAAAGCCGGAAAGCAGCTCGCCGCTGCCCTGCACGGTCCCCGCTGAGTGGGACAGCAGCACCTGTGTGAGAGCTCACAGGCGCCTGTGTGCTAAGGTGAGTCTCCCTGCAGGACCAAGCGCACCCAGCGGCCGAGCCGCCTCTCCCAGGCCTGAGCTGCAGAGCTGCAACCCTACGGTGCCCCCTGCCCTGGCCCGGAGTCCTCCTGCACACCGCTTCCTCCCCTCAGCCGGCCAGCTTCGCCACTGCCGAATGCTGGGGCTGTCACCCAGAGAGCCACAGGCCGCCTTTCTTGACAGACAGGTAAGGGATGGAGTCTTGGCAGTCGCCAGGGGCTCTGGAACGCTACCGACCCCCAGGAAGGCCTCCGGGGCACACACTCGCTTGTAAGAATAAGCAGTGTTACACACGAACGTGAGGAACGCCCTCGCGTCCTCGGGGGAGGGCAAGGTGGGCACATTCTGCCAGTTATCTGGAAACAAAACTGCTCATCAGAGCTGGCTACCCACTACCTATGCACGGATAACAAGGCAAGAGAAGGTTAAGCGCCTACGGGCCTCGCACTCTAAAATTAGGTCTGTGTTGTGCAAGAACACAGCCGACCCCCAGCGATCAGCGGCCATCACTGACTTCAGCAGTCGATTTGGAGGCTGCGCGACAGGCAGGAGCTGTGTCAGGGCGGCAAGCTATGCTAAAGGCAGGAGGGGTTCACATTCCCCCTGCCTGGGCCACCGTCTGGCCCTCCCCACGTAAAGGGGCCTAACAACAGTTTCTGCCTCAAAGCGCTGCTGCACGAGGGCTCCGAGTGAACAGCTCCGCCCTGTGGACAGCAGCAAGGGCTCCACCCGGGGAGCCCGCCACAGCGAGCACGCAGCTGTTAGCGACGGCGCCTGAGCTGGGTCCATCGGGAGCAGCAGGGCCACACCGAGCCGCCAACGGGAAGCTGGCACACGCTCGGCAGCTGTCGCCAGCCTGAGGCCGGGCATGAGCGAAGACTTTAGGGCGCACCAGCTTCAAACCCTACAGGTAACAGCTGAGACCATTATTTTCTTTTAGTCACACAAGCCGACAACAACCGCCCTGGCTGTGTTCTCAGACGTAAAGGACACGCGAAGCAGGGAGAACAGGAACACCGTGGACAAGCGCCGAGACCACTGACTGCGAGCGAAATCAGCTTCAGCGCTGCGGGGAGCGGCTGTCCTTGCAAGTATCCCCACTTCTTACTAAGGGAGGGACTGCAGGCGGGACCCCAGGAAAACCCACACGTGACAGGAGCAGGGGGCCAGGGGGCACCTATGAAAATTCAGCGCCCACTCAGCTCCTCCAGAGCAGGCTGCCCCTAAGCGCTTCCGGGCATTTGGGACTTGTGCCTACTGTGACATCGCTACCTGTCCTCAAATAACCACCCCCGTGTCTCCTGAGGCTGGTCAGGAGCCGGCACACCTCCTACCCCTAGACAGCCAGCGCTCCTGTTATTCACATTTTAGCTGTTTGACCGGCTAACCCGAAGTTCATTGCAATCCAAAATTCTTCAGAGATTTTCTGCCAAAGAACACTCAAAAATCTTAAAGCAGCCGAGCAGCGGGACTTACGTGCAGTCTCAGCTATTCGGGAGGTGAGGCAGGAGGTCACAAGTCTGAGAGCAGCAAGCCCCGCGTCCGGTGCACTCAGCGGTAGCACGCTCCTGGGTTCCCTTCGGCACCGCAGAGACAAACCAGTACAACACTCCCACTCACACACGCTCAACCTAACAGACAACTCTGGAGTTCCTTAGCTCTCCGAGAGCACAGAAGCCGTGCTACTAGGGGAAGTGATGGAAGAGGTGCAGAAGCACCGCATCCTCATGTGAGGCTATGTGACCGTATAGATTTTTAACACTACAAAAAGCAAAATCCTTTGAGTCTCCATCACGGGACATGAGAAACAATTCTTTTCAATAGAGACTCTCTTGTTTCGGCAGCAGATCTGTAGGGAACTAGCAGCGGCAGATGAAAGATGCTTAAGACTCAGGAACTAGTGGAACACTTTACAGATTCCAACCTTCGGAAATGACTTCTAATTCTGAGCAACACCCAAGGGCATTCAAATTCAACTGCTGGTGAACTGTATCAGCTGGCGCAAATAAATGTACCGCTTTAAAAACAGCACAAAGTGCCGAGATAAGTTTCTGAGGAAGCTGGGAGCTCGTGTCCAAGGGGAAAGGCTCTGGGTTTCTTTTTAGTTTATTTTACTTCGCCCTTCCGTCACAGTCATCTAGAAATAACACGTCTGCATTTGCTTTCAAATGGAAGTGCTCAAATGTCCCTTTTTGCCTAGGGAACAGAACTGCCAAGGTCACCCCTTCTCCTTTGCCTCTCCGCCCCTCAGGATGTGGCCGGGTCCCGGGAAGTGTCACTGTTTCTCTCCCACTCGGAGCAACTGAGCCGTGTGTCGGGACCCACAGGAGCACCCTTCCCTGCACACAGGGCCACATGTCCCCAAACGGGCACTGCCTGCTGACCCGTGCTGTCCCCCGGCCAGGATGTGGTCACCTGCAGATGAAAGGCAGGGCTCCCAGTGTCCTCTGTTCCCACGCTACACCAACTGTCCTTTCACTAGGTGACCCCGGTTCTTCAGCCCGGGGAGGCCATCAGCCTCCGCTGCTCAGGAACTGTTCTCTGCTTGCTTCCCTGGGTCTCAAACTCAGAGAGGCCAGGGGACACATCTGCAGGGCAAGGGCTGCACCAGAACTCCGTTGCTTTCTAGCCTACACTGTGAGCTTAGAAATCTATACATTTTTATAATTTAGCAAACAATCATCTGAGTACTGTTACCTCTTTACTACCACGCTTTTCTCAAGTCTGCTTGCTCTTCTGCACAGCACCGGAGGTAGTTCTGTCAAGATAAACGCCCGGACGGGGAGGGTGTGCAGTGGTCATTTCACTTACCATAGCCAGCTGTCGTCCTATGTTTCCCACCGTGACACCTCCTGAGAAAAATATACATGGGAGCCATGAACGAATATAGAGAAAATCTGGGGATGTATACCTAGAGGAAAAAAAGAAAGGAAGAAGCCTTAGTAGTCAATTTCACCAGTGCAATTCTGGACCAACGATTTTCTATTATGGGGCCTACAAGATGCTGAGTAACCATAAACTGCTACACAAGTGTCACTGTTTGAACGCCGTGACTTACTGCTACCACCTGGTCTGCGCTGCCAGCGCAGAATCAGCAGTTTGAGTTTCATGACTAAATCCGCGTCACTGGGCACGCAGGCTCATCAGCACTAGAGAGAGCGCACTTACTGATAGACTCCGTTATACACGAGGAACTGGGTGATGAGTGTCGCCAGGAAGGCGATGGTGATCCCAAGCCCAAGGCCGCTTCTGGAGCGATCAAACGTCCACCAAAGGCCCAAGGACAGGGCTGCCAAGGTCAAGGACAGCTGGACATTATTGGCAAAATCCAACTTCTGGTGATGCAGAAGTTAAAGAAAAGAAAAAGTTTTTCATATGATCAAAAACGTTAAAACCACGGGAGCTCCTCAGTGTTTGTCGGTACACAGCGAGCACCACCCGTAGCGGCTGCAGGGAGCCGGCCTGGCTTCCCCACGCCGCCACGTCAAAGCAGGGCTGTAAGCGCAGTCTCCTGAAGTCACACGCAAACTCTGCCCGGAGCTCCAGCCACAAAGCAATCAATACACTGACACCACTCTTTCTTTTCTTTTTGGTAAACTGAAGTGAGCAAATACCCCTCCAAGTCTGCGTGATGATCTCCAAGTATCTCAGGACAGGCACTTAGAACTGTCACTACAATCTGCTCAACTGATGACAAAATTAATTTGTCAGAGCTATCGTCCATTAACACAGGAAAAAGCAGACTGAAGATTTCTAAGCATTTCTTTCCCTTCATCCTACTACAGTTAGCAAGAACTGAGGCAGTCACCCCTTTCCTCCATTTAATTCTAAACAGCATCCTGTCGGTATTCCTACTCTCACTGTCCTAAGCAGCAGAAAGTAACAAAAGTCCAGGCAATCACTGATACTCTAGGTGAGAAAGCATTCCATCTCCTAGCCCGACCTTTGGCTGCCTCCATAGGTACTACCTGCCCCATCATAATTAGTATCAGAGCGAACTCTGAGACAGGCATGCCTGGGGAGAGCCCCCACCATGACTCAGCACCTGTCCATCACACCTAGGAATGTGGGAGGCCCATAAGGCTGAGGTGCCCATCCTTTAAATCCTGCAAGCCTGACTGACCTGTGCCTGTCGCTCTGCTGCTGATGCTATCTTTGTGTGCTCTGACCTGAGTGCAGCACTCTTCTGCCACCTGGCACATTTCCTCTGCCTGCTTATCTGATGGTGGCATGACCTTGGCCCGAGCACAACTTCCTGCAATCTTTAATAAATGGAGCTGCTCATTTCTTACGCCTGGGTACACCACTTAGCAATTCTTTCCTTGTTGGAGAACAGCCTGGGTTACATTGGCCCATTCCACTGCGATGACCTTGTTCTAAGGAAACCTAAATCTTTCAAACTGTGGACAAATTATTAAAAAGGCACCACGGACAAAGTCAAAGCATACTGCAGAGACGGGGTTCTATCCACAGATGTCCTAAGCTCCAGGCCTTCCATGACTGACCCTTGCATGAGAGGCAGCTGCAGACACTGTCCTGTAATGTGACAACAGCGTCTCTCTGCAGTCCCTGCTGTCACTGGAGCCACCCCTCGGCCAAGGAGGGTGAGAGGAAGACAGGTCAGAGGGAAATTATGAGAAGAACTTTTAGGAGCCAGAGGACAACTGCCTGAGAAAGGAGAGCCCAGGGAGTACCGGTTACCTCTGGCACTATTTTAACAGCTTCCCCACCGCAGAGGGGCCCTGGGAACTGTACCGTAGATGCTGCTGGGTGTGAAACAGGTGATACACTCTGAAAGACATGGACGAGGTCCGATACCAGATACTCAACAGAAGTACACAGAGCTTCCTCCTGTGACCTAGGGGACGCTCTGGACACAGCACATCAAGTCAAGGATACAGCACTGGCATGGTTAATGCCAACGAAAACTGCAATGCAGCGCATGACGCTGGCCCACTCTCTCTTGAACTTGTGGGGCTCTCCCAGGTGACTGTCGATGCAAGGGTACAGTAAGCCGACCACAGCTGTTCAGAGAAAAGACAACAGGGTTAGAACACACCAACCGAAAGCCACTGCTCAGGTCCAGGTTCTTTAACAGCAGTCATCAGTACCCAAACCGTCCCCCAGAGGTGCACGGGCCACAGCTCCCCGGGGCGGTGCTGCACTCCGGAGCCGTGGAGCACTGCCATGAGCACCATGTGGAAAAAGCAACTCTGCACTGGGAAGGGCCACGTAGAGGAAACTGGGCCACTAGTCCCAGTGTGCCCCGTGTGGACTGGCTCCTGGTGTTTGTCTTCTTGTGTGTGACATGAAGAGCGTTGTGTAACTGGAGGGCAGAGGAGAAAGATCCCACCGTCTGCAGTCAGGGGAAAGCTCCGCAGACGCGGAATCCCAAAGACCATTCAGACAGTGGGAAGGCAGGCCTTCCAAAAGAGAAGTACAGTGGCTAAACACGCGGTCTGTGACCCAAGTGGGACACAAGGTTCCCGTGTAAGGTTCAGCCAACAGAGGAGTGTGCATCAGGCCACAGCTTTACTTTGTCTGGCAGAGGAGAGCTGGGCATTCAGGTTCTTTAAATGAGCAGAGGAGCAGGGCTGGCCATGCACTCAGGTAAGACTAGAAGAAACTGTGGTACATTCCTGGAATTCGCTGAAGTTCCAGTTACAAATAACTTCATTCTGCAGATCAAGTTTTTGATTCAAAGAAGCAAACTACGATAGCAAATGTACTTGAAAGACACAATTTCAAATCCAGCTCTACTTTTCAAAGAGAACTCTTCATGCGTACAGCCACGTCCTTAAAAGGTGCGGAGGAAAAAGTAGGGTCCCACCTTTCGGAGGACAACTGTGAGACATTCCCGCCCCAGCTGAGTAAGGACAGTACCCTGGCTGGCTGAAGCACACTGTGGGGTTACTGCTGGAGCAGCTTCCAGCAGGGAGACGCCACGGAGTTGCCAGTCACAGCTCCGCAGCCGTGAATGGTGCTGTACTTAACCTCTGTGCCTCAGTCTCCACATCTGCCACAACCAGAGGGAGCGAGGGTAAAGCTTGGAGGGGAAACCAAAGTGAACTAAACATGCAAGCAGGCAGCGTAAGTCAGCCACGGCGCACACGGGTGCTGGCCCTGCTTAGTTTTATGTTTCGAGTGCTCCTGAGTGCAGGTTGCAAAAGATACCTGACAAGTGCTCCTTACATAAACAAATACTGGGTCATTACGCTATTGAGCAACACACTAGGTCACAATCATGCACCGTTTTTATAACCTAGCTAAACTATAATCAAGAAATTCTATTTAAAGAAAAAACATAGCAATCCACAGTATAACTACTTCTTGCTGGGCTCTGGTGCACCTCTGGGACAGCTCAGGTGTGCCGCAAGCTACCGTCTCACTGAGGGGCCCCTGCGCCCGCCCTTCACTCAGGAGTTGTGCCCTGGGGGGTGCTGGCTGTTTGGCCCGAAGCTACCACAGAAGGAAGTGCTGACAAGTTGCTGCCCTGGCAACCGTCTCCTGCACACGTGACGGTTTGTTTTCAGTTACCCGCAGGGTAGCATGTTCGTGCCGGCAGCCAATGGCGCGCAGCCCTGCCCTCACCAGTTCTGCAGGTGGCCAATCCCTGGGCGCGGGCGCTGGGTGACAGCTGCGCCTGTCACCCGGACGCTAGAGGGACAGGACTCGTTAGCCTGGCCCAGGTTTGCTCAAACAGCCAATTATCTCCGACCTCATCTCCATCCCTGCTCCTCAAACTTCAGGGCTGCGCGTGGCCAGCGCGGGCCCCCCACCCTCCCGGCCAGTCCTTCTCTGGACGCAGACACCGCGATGCCAGCTGTCACCCCTTCGCAAACGCGCGCTGCTCCCGGGCTGGGAGGGGTCCGGCCGGGGACGCGGCCTCCCGGTCCCGCGCAGGGCACTCACCCGCGGCCGTCCCGCAGCACGGCGGCACCCACCAGGCCGAGGAGAAGATGGTGGCGATCACCTCGTCCGGGAAGAGCGTGACATTCCTCTGGATCTGCAGCAGGTTGAGCACCAGGGCCAGGACGACCCCGACCGAGAAGAGCACAAGGCTCCTCTGCACCAGGTCGTGGTGCCCGCCGCTGGCCCGCGGGCCCCGGGGCGCGGGGTTGGAG